GTCTGGAGCATAAATATAATATTTAGAACTTGTGCATTTGTCCTCTCCAAATAAAAACATGAAAAAAGCAAAAAGACTTTTAATGTTCAAATACAATCTCGGCCCATGGTGACAGAACAACTGAATATCACAGCACCTCATGGAAAAGCAATTACAACACAGAGGAGTAGATGGGGCTCCCTGTGGTGACATAATTGAATACATTAAGATTAGGCACATTATGGCACTAATAGCCAGAAACAATTCATTTCACAGGATTAAAGGAATCTAACTCTTCAGCGTTTGCCTTGATAAAAATCTGTTGCTGCTTTTAGCCTCCATCTCCTCTGTGCTTTGTTTGTTTCCGTGCACATACTGCATGCGAGCATATAAGAATGCTTCGGTACATCTGAAGCACGAGATATTTTACTTCATACAGCTGTGCGGGTAATAATATACTTCTGTGCTGGCACGTAGAGATAATCAGATGTTCAGGCTTTGTGACTCACACCTTGTGCGTCAAACAAAGTAGCTCATCTGAGGCAGGAAAGCGTCGGTATAGAAGTGGCTGGTTTCTCTGAGGCTGTTTAGATGTATCTGTCACATCATAACAGCAATCAGCAATCTGGATAAAATTATCTTGCTTAACAGATGGGAGCTCAAAACTGTGTCACCATCCAGACATGGCTGTGCAGCGCTGTGTTAAAATGCGTCGTGCACCGTTCTCTATGCATGCTGCATTCCATATCTAGACAAAAATAGCTTGATTTAATATTCCCTTGAATCAGTGAGGCAGCATATTGAAAATCTTCATCCAATTTTAAATTCAATACCATTTTAAATTCATTCAGTCTTCTAATATCAGTTGCCTTTCAGTTACAAAATCGTGTTTAGTAATTCTGCCAAAATCAATAATTTGTTATAAGCATGTGTTTGGATCTCATTAATTTTGCAGCACATTTGCATACATAAAATATTTGGGGAATTACTGTGTTGTTAATGTGCGCTTATAGCCAGTGTTATTATCATGCTGTTGTTATGCATTCCTTTGTTATCTATCTGTATTGTCACCGTAGATATCTAGTTTAGTGTGATGTTCACTGAATTTGACTTAAAATGGTTACGTAAATCAATTGTTAAACAATGCTGTTATATAAGAACCAAATTGAACGTAGTGCTGTCTCAGTTATCTACCCTATAAAGTGGCATGGAGCTTTACTGCGGGTAAATTATAAACATGCTC